TCATTAGAGAGACGAGAGCGTTGTATAGTTTTCGGTTTCAGGGCTTTTCGATGTCGCCGAAGTTGTATTCGTTCGTTTCTATTTTTTTTTAACCTTTTAGGGCTCGGATACCATGTGATAACCCTTGCTCGATATATCAATTTGTGTTATACATGTTGTATATATACGGAGCATAACCGAGGGTCCTAGAGCCTCTACACATACAAAAACAATATCCCAAATATTTTGCATAATTAAAATACAGAGTAAAGATGAAAAGATGTAGAAGTAGATGATTCCAACTCCCAAGAAGTGATTCCACCAGCTCTCCTTGCCTCTGGCTGCTAAACTTGGCTGCTGAAAAACACCCCCCCTCCAAGTGGTGTTTTAGGTCTATTTATATGTGTAGAAGAAACCCTAAACGTGTGAGCCGAGTCCTAGTCAAACTCGAAATGAATTAAGTCTTCAAAATTCAGATTGGACTTGGCCTCAGGCCTGGCGTCGCCAGCCTAATGCTAGGAATTTGGCTGGCCTCGCCAGGCTGAAGCCTGGTCCAGCCTGGCCTTAGGCTGGTCAGCCAGGCTAAAGCCTGGTCCAACCTGGCCTTTGGCTGACCTCGCAAGGTCTTTCCTTTTCATTGTTCTCGAGCACACTTTCAATGTTTAAGTATCCATTTTGCTCTAGTTTCATCTCCAATTCACCTACACATAAAATAGACTCCCTTATGAACAAATAAAGTGTAATTTATCATTAAAGCATGTAAAATGCAAGGCACATAATGTACGAAACTATGGAATTATAGCCACACATCATTGCGCAATGACCACAATGGCCATAGAAGCTAAGGTTTAGGCGTCATGTTTAGGGTTTTTCATGAGAGAGAAGAGAGCGTTGTATAGTTTTCGGTTTCAGGGCTTTTCGATGTCGCCGAAGTTGTATTCGTTCGTTTCTATTTTTTTTAAACCTTTGAGGGCTCGGATACCATGTGAAAACCCTTGCTCGATATATCAATTTGTGTTATACATGTTGTATATATACAGAGCATAACCGAGGGTCCTAGAGCTCTACACATACAAAAACAAAACTTGCTCAAACTAGGAAGTGAGCTTCCAAAACTTAGTTGAAGTCTACAAGCTAATTAATGTTATCCTTCTTCAGTAGAAAGGGTAACGGTGAGAAAATCACATCTTATTATTTAGTGACCTATTTATTGAAACAGTAAAGATGGAAAATAAAAATCATAAAGAACAAATTCTAAGGATAAGATAGCTGAAGCAAGAATAAACTATTTATTGAAACAGTAAAGATGGAAAATAAAAATCATAAAGAACAAATTCTAAGGATAAGATAGCTGAAGCAAGAATAAACTATTTATTGAAACAGTAAAGATGGAAAATAAAAACCATAAAGAACAAATTCTAAGGATAAGATAGCTGAAGCAAGAATAAACTATTTATTGAAACAGTAAAGATGGAAAATAAAAACCATAAAGAACAAATTCTAAGGATAAGATAGCTGAAGCAAGAATAAAATAAAACAATCGATACCTAAGGAAAAGAGAACTATTAAAGGCTGAATGATGGAAAACTACTTAAGAAAACAAAACAAATTAAAACGAGCAAAATAATTCAAAAAAGTATTTAACTTTAAATAATTGGTTACTGCAAGTAATATTGGCATCAGAGGCGGATTTAAGATTTGAAGGTGACGAGTATCATAATTTTCTTTAATGTATACCTTGTAATGACTAATACGGAGTTTGTTAGGAACGTTTATTCGATTTTTTTTGTTGATTCGGGTCAACTTAATATGTGTTTTTATTTGTAAATATGAAAATTGCATCTCAAATATCAAAAAACAAACGTAATTAGCATTTTAAATAAGGAATCACACCTTTATTGTAACAACACAACTAAAATTAATATTTTCACCAGGGAATTACATCTTTTTCTGTATATTAAAAATAAATCTACACAAGTAAGATAACATCTTCAATAAGGGAATTACATAAATCAGAATAAGAAAATTAAAAAAAAAATATTTTCAATAGATAATTATACCCTATAAGTAAAGAATTAAATAAACTACAAGTTCTCAAAAATCAAAATCATAAATCTCATTTTTTAAGCAACGGTTACGAAATTTTCATCAGTAAAGAGATTTAAAGTATAATTAATAACCATAAAATAACACAAAATTTTATGATATAATTAAAAAAAAACTCATAGATTTGAGATTAAGAGGAGAGCTTATTTTATGTAATTTTAAAATTTTGGAGTCTCTTTTTTGAATGTTCTTGCTAGTGACTACATATAAAATAATAGAATAGGAAACAAAAATATAAAAAATAATAAAATAACAAATAGAAAAATGGGAGGTAGCGGGAAAGGGAAATAACTTGGAAAAAAAGAAATAAAAAGCACAAAGAAAAAGGAAAGTCGGAGAAGGTTCGAGATAAATTCCAACTTGAATTTTACACACAAGAAAAGTTTCCAAAAGGGTCTACAACCATGGCACATTTCTCTAGTTTACAATTGCGGGTGCCAGAATTAAATATTTAATTTAATTTAAGAAAATTTCAATATAAATATATGATAATTTTATTATCTTAGCGGGTTTCATGTCACCCCATCCTAAAGGGGTGGATCCGCCCCAGGCATATCAGAGTTGGGGGAGATTAGTTCATGCAGGAACTTATTTAGGCGATAAATGACAATAATAGTGACGATAATCATGATGAAATCTTGATGAAACAAGAAAAAGAAAATGAGAAACTTGCACTTCAATATATCCCTTTGAGAAGAATATCATCTTGAATAGGCATGGCCCATAAACAAAAACGACTAAGTGATAATATTCATAAAAAATACCCCCAATACAATAAGAAATTGTGCTCATGAATCGTGGCAATGCTCCAAAACTCTTGTGCCCTAGAAGCCAGGTAACATGAGAATGGGACAGTAGCCTTTGGGTTATGTATTGACAAGAACTTCACCCTCCAATCTTGCAATTTCGATTCATTTTCCTCTGTCGCCTTCTACCGTTCGATTAAAAGGCGGCATTGTGCCTACCCTAATAAGGTTAAATATCATCAATGCAAAAAGGCTTCATAAATTGACCCAATAACAAAATTTAAGAAAAAATTTAACACCATCAATTTTGAAAAATAGTAAGTCGGCTGTTTCTACTCATGTCATAGTCTGTAACACCTTCGATAAGGATAAGTTCTCCCTATGAAAAAAAAGGCTATCATGTTACAGGTGAAAATAAAGAGATCCTAAAAGGATAGAGTATTTGCACAAATGGGATGAACACGTCTGAAAAAGTGCACATAATAGGCCGTAGGTTGGGGTGTACATAGGTTGGGTTGGCTCGAAATTTTCAATTATCAAACCAAACCAATGGTGTCGGGTATTTAAATTTATAAACCAAACCAAACCAATAAAGTCGGGTTTTTCAATCTCGAATTTTTTTTGGGTTTTCGGGGTTTTTTCCGGTAAAGTCTTCATAGTATAAAATATGTAACTTGTGCTCCAAATATTTCTTAAGTCCTAGTAAAATACAACTATATAAGTATTTTTCAAGAAACTAACACAATAATATGAGATAAGTCATAGCATTATACTAAAATATTCAATAACAAAAATAAAATAATAAAATTATATAAATCAAATATTGCTAATTAATAAGCCATAATGAAAACTAACATAATCTAAAAATATTATATATATAGGTCATGCTAAAATAAGTATAGCTAATAAGTACTAATATTAATATATAACTAAGCACTAAAGAAAAAGATAAACTAAGTTATGCATTTTCATTGTAAACCAATGTAAAACTAAAATAATTATCCAAAACTATCGTCATTCCTAGTATTGAATTGAATTTCTTTTTGTTAGCATTAGTATTGATTTGAACTTTATTTGAGTTACTACATTTATGGGCTTTAAAATTTATTTACCATTCAAGAATGTTAAGTTTAAACTTGAAATAATACATTAAAAGATAAATCTATGAAAAAGTTTAAGAAATATTTATAAATTATATTACAGTAAATATTTATATGTATAAAATATTTTTAAAAATTATATAAATGTACTATCGGGTTGGTTTAGTTTCAATTTGACTTTTTTTAGTTAAAACCAAACTAAACCAATTATGTTCGGGTTTTATTTTTCAATACCAAACCACATCGGATTTTTTTTTCGGCTTGACTCGGATTATCGGGTTGATGCGGTTTATCAGTTTTTTTTGTACACCCCTATCCGTAGGTGCAACATTTACATAGTTCGTACTAATATTCGTAAAGGATAAACTAGTATAGTAGAATTTATGTCCATAAATTTTAACACTTGAGCTCCATATATAGAAGAGAAAGCAAAGAAAAGAGGAAGAGCGTCAATCAAGGCAGAGGTAGAAATCCAAATATAAATACAGTCGAATCTAATAATTTTTGTTTAAATAATGTATTTGTATTAAAAATTTATTAAATATATACAAATTAAATTTAAAATCTAATTATTAGCACTTAAAATTCTTGTTCTAAAATTTAGAACCCATAAAATTAAGATCTTAGCTCTAGCTCTGTATCCGGTTAAAGAGCTAGGACAAATTAAGTACCGAATTGTGAAGGCATGGCTAGCAAATGTATCATGTATGTGCTAATTCAATGAGTTTTGTGCGAAATGAGATGACGAATAGACTTCCAACTGATGATGATTTCTCAAGAGGAAGGAATACATATTCCAACAAAAATGGGACAGCAAAATGTCCGGACACGTGTACGACAAGGATGATTTGGACTAGACAAACAAAATTGATGTTTGTTGTTCATGTCTATGAATATTTATCATATCTTTTGCATTTATGTCAGTCAAGTGTTTTTCACCGCGGCTGGAATTATTATGCAAAATGGGTGGATTAGTGATTTATCAAATGGGCAAGGGTATTTACGTAATTTCAATTCGCCCTCTCTTTATCGCTGCTATAAAAGAAAAAGGATTGCACTTTGGCAATGTAAATCATTAAGAGTCAAGAGAAGTGAAGCATTGAGTTCCATAGTTCTCTCCACTACTCTTCTTTCTGCTTAAGGCTTTTTTTTTAGTTGTACAAGGTATGAAAGGTTGCAACTGATCATCTTGTAGTTTTCTTCTTTTTCTAGTGATTTAATTTTCCTCCTTTTCTTATATATGTTTTTGGTAGCAATCATTAAGAAATAATTAGTAACCAATTGTCAACTTTTAAATATACTACCACTTCTCCTCTCCCCCTCCAAGAATAACAAATCAAAGAAACTAGCCAGAAAACCTACGAAATACACGTTTCGCTTCATATATTAGTGTTTACTTCAAATTTTGAAATTTTAAAAGTTATGATAGCCTATATATATTTTTCTTTCTAGAATTGTTTCTTTTCCTTCTTTTTTCTTTTCATGTAGTCTTTTGATCATTAGTAGAATATTTTGAACTAACTTGGAGAATTTAGTAGCAAAGAGTGAGAAAAACATAACCGAAAGATAGTAATCTTAGAGCAAAAAGGTATGCTATAGAGGAAAATACTAGTTAAAGAACTTAACTAGATGCATTGTAATTGATAAAATGGGCGCCTTAATTTACATTTCTTAATCATTTTCTATTATATTTTCAATAATTTATTTTTTATACCTTCACAGTATATATATAAGTTAAATCCTTTTATGTTATTATTAACGTCTGCATTTCCATATTTGTATGTACATATAAAGGAAAATGATGGATAAACCGAGTACCACAAGTTTACTTCGTACAAAGTCTGATCAACTGGTAGAAGCAATTTCGGCGGCAATGGGTGCAACGAAGTCCCCGATCAGTGAGGCGGTGGGAGGGCCGGAGACGCTGTCGAGGAAGTCAAGCAGGCGGCTAGCTGCGGCGTCACCGGGGCGGAGCAGCAGCAGCATAGGGAAAAACACTCATATTAGAAAGTCAAGAAGTGCTCAATTGAAGTTTGATTTAGATGAAGTTAGCAGTGGCGCCGCCTTAAGCCGCGCCTCTAGTGCCAGCTTGGGCTTATCTTTCTCCTTCACAGGCTTCACCGTGCCACCGGATGAGATCGCCGATTTGAAGCCCTTTAGTGATGATGATATTCGTAAGTATATCTATATATCTTTTTCTTCTTTTACTGATTTCTTGCACGAGCTCTGCTAGTCTAGTTCGACTCCAACTTCTGTCATAACAAACTTAAAAATATATATGCAATTTATTGTTTGTGTTACTTTTCAGCAAATGAGAACTGATTTCCAGTTTAAACTAATTAGTTAGCTCATAAAAGGTAATAATATTTCTTAAATTAACATCACCAAAGTTCCTTAACGTGATGCTTAATTTTCTTTCACCTAGCTATGCTTGTTCTCTTTCTTTCTCTTAATTACTTTTTCGTCCTTAAGATAATAGCAGAAGCAGAAACAAATTTCGTTCTATAGCATGAAAAATAATATTAAAACTTAATAAATAATCATTTTCTAGTTCTTTTTCCAAAATGAAATGAAGGTTTCATAAGTTTGCCAACGTTTCTCCTTTCTCCTTTTTAATTGTGGCCCTTCTTTGTGCACCACAAAAGCTCATAATTCCAAACGACATGAGTGCCCTTAGAGAGAATTAGATTTCTGGTTCGAATAATCCTTGACCCTACTTATGCTAGGGTATTTGCGTCAATTCGCATCCTCTCAACGGCCATATTTATTCACTTCTCTTTATTTTCCTTCCTCTCGAGGGCATGTTAAAGATGACAAAAGCTGTTACTATAAGTAGTGCTAGCAATAGGGAAACTATTAAAGATTTAATACCGTTAAAAGCTTAAATAATCGACAAATGATTGGTTCAAGAAATGGAATGTTCATAGGATTAACAGGAAAAAGAAGTTCAAACGTTTGTTTGTTTGTTTTATTTTCTTTTCTGCTTAAAGAAAGAAAAGCCAAAAAAATCTTCGCCTTACCCATAATAGCCTCGGATTTAAGGCGAAAAGGACTTTTTCATTTGCATGGGTCAATGGAAAGTTAGAAACTGCCAGACTGACTCTTTGAAGTCCCTAAAGTGAGAAACTGGTGAAAAGTGGACCCCTTCTTTTTGTTGTGCTAGTTTGGACGCAAAAACAAACCCAAAAAGGAAAGAAGGTAAACACAAGTGTTGAAACTTGAAAGAAGCCTTTATTTCTTTTCTTTTTTCTTTTGTCACCCCTCTTATTTTGTGCTTTTTTTTTTCCCTGTTTCGGGAGAGTTTTACGTAATGAGTGCGCCATTCTAACCTAATATGAACGTCCTAATGAAAAGTTTCTTTTACTTTCTTTTGCAAATTACAGCTGAAGAATACATGTAATTGTTTCAGGAACTTGCATCATTTCTTCGTTGTCATTTAAATTTTATTAGATGGTGTCAAAAAAGTCAAAGATTAGTGAAGTTTAAATTTTTTTAGTGAGACTTATTAATAATGGAAGCAGTTTGGCCAGATTCCCACTCATATATCTACAATGGAAATCCATAAACTTGTCACTCTCCACAATTGTCAATATAGCCACATGTCTGGCCATTGTTTGTTAAAATTGGAGAACGTACAAAAAGTGGACCTGTTATAGGATTTCGTTTTAAGTCTTATCATGGTGCCCACTTTGTCTGTACAATACTTTGATAGTGGTGAGTGGGATATATAGCACTCAGTGAAGCAAAACCCGAGGCAATTAATTCAACAATAAAAAGGAATCACGTATCAAAATGCTTAATATCATGGACTGACAAATACACCCTAAGCGTTAGCAATTTTTAAATTCTTTGGAAAACCTATTTGCATTTTAGGTCCCATAATGGTTACAGAATTTTGTGCAACATTTGTTCCTCTCTTAAATCTTGACAAAGAAAAATACCAACTCCATAATACACCACATTTCACTTGCTTTTAACTTAAAATACTCGTCCCATGCCCTTAGGCCACTAAGCACATTCGCTCTCTCTATGTATGCAAGCTAGTCTTCAGTTTTCATATCAATCTAGTTGATGGACATTTGAAATACACCATTGTTATTGTAAACTATATCCTTAGAAGAACGAAAATGAAAAGATAATTAGGCTGGAAAAAAATAGGAAGAATAAAAAGGGTATTTTGCTATTAGAAGTTAATGTGAGTAGTGGTAAATCTTGGTCTCGAGTTTGTGATAAGATAACCAAAGTGATTAATATGCTTGTCTTTGGTAGGAAGTAAATATGTGAGAAATCATCTAGCCTGGACTTCATGATCACAAGTTATATATGTACTTTTTGCAGCTGAAGATATTGAAGCTGGCACAAGAAAGATGAAGATTCAAGCAGAACCTACCTTACCGATATACCTCAAGGTGAACCTAAGCTCAAAATGCAGGCAGTCAAAAAAACTCAAAAAGCTTTCTGAATTTTGGTTTTATCTAGCAAAGCATGTGTAACGGTGTGTCAAACCCCCCATCTTCCCTGCATGCACACGGATTGATCGGATACTATGTATTTGGACAGGCAAGGATGGAGGTTTATGTTGAGATCAAAGCGACCCTTTGAACATGGCAAATATTTGATGTCAGGTTCAGTCTTGTACAGAATCTCATTTCATGTGGTATTTTTGTACAAGACTTCCCCTTTTAACAAACAACACTATAGAAGCTTAAAAGTGTTCACAAAATGCATGTAAACACAGAAACTAGTTTACAGAACCAGCACCTGGGATCGAGTTGACGTCACCTTCAGCACTCAGTTGCTGAGGATTCACAAATATTCGATGGCGTCAGCTTTGGTATGAAGAGAAATAGAAGCAAAACCTGACCATAAAAGATGTAGACTAGAAGCATACTCTGTACATCTTTTTGGAAGTTAAATTGAGCTGCATAAACTTATTCTCAAGCTAAAAAAGGGATCTCAGATTATAACTTTTTTATTCCTTTCACAAACTCTGCAGTTTACTGAGGTATGCTACAAGGTGGTTATTAAAGGAGTAACATCAACAAGAGAGAAGGAAATTTTGACCGGAATCAGTGGTTCTGTTGATCCAGGAGAAGTTTTGGCCATGATGGGGCCGTCTGGAAGTGGAAAGACAACGCTCCTCAGCCTGCTTGGAGGAAGAATAAAAGAGCCAACAGGAAGAGGCTCAATCACCTACAATGAACAACCATACTCAAAGCTTCTAAAGAGCAGGTAACCCTCCATAATTCACCAAGTGGTATACACTAGAAAATCTTGAGAACACAATACGAATGCCATATTTTTTCATGATAATTCCAATCTCATGTTGCTAAAATCAAATAACAACGGCTCATGTAGTTTAACAGAAGCTAATAATTTTTAATAAAAAACATTATGCGATGCTACTGCTGGAAATTATCATGCACCTCATGTTTAAATTAGTTGCCAAAGTAATTTGAAAAAGATTAGTTGCCAGAGTAGAAGCACAGGAAAGAGTACTCTGACAGAGATTTTGATCATCTCATCTGTGATTTATGAAGCAAAAACAAGAGATGTACTAACAAATATGCACAGGAAACACACTTTAAACAAACTGGCATCTAAGTTCGAGCTAAATGAATTTGATTGCATCATAGATTAAAGTCAGATATCAAGGTATCGGTCTACGCAAATACAAACATAAGCAGAGTTCAAGGAAAAAAACTTGCACAGAATCTAACATGGATGTGAAAACTTTGGCAGGATAGGATTTGTGACTCAAGATGACATACTATTTCCTCACTTGACAGTGAGAGAAACACTAACATATGCAGCTCGCCTACGACTGCCAAAGACATTGACAAAGGAGGAGAAAGAAAAAAGAGCCATAGATGTGATATACGAGTTGGGACTAGAGAGGTAATCGTTTCTCTACTTGACAAGTTCTCTAATTTTCATGACATGCAGGGAACCATTAAGCCTGAGATCATTACTAAGGCCACTTTCAGTCATCTAACAAATGAATAGATGGTCATACTTTAATAAAGCGAGTATTTGACAAAAAATAACCTTAGATTGACAAACAACAAGATGCACAATTTCTTTGGTGAAAGCTAATGAGGAATGTGATGTTTACAGATGCCAAGATACCATGATTGGTGGTTCCTTTGTTCGTGGAGTTTCAGGGGGAGAAAGAAAGCGTGTTTGTATCGGAAATGAGATCATAATTAATCCATCCCTACTGTTCCTTGATGAACCCACATCGGGGTTGGACTCTACAACAGCTTTAAGGATGGTTGAGATATTACACGATATAGCTGAGGTAACGTTTCTCTCAGTTTTATCCAAGACCATCATAGTACTTCTAACTTCATCATAGAGGGAGTCTATGTTATCCTGTTAAAAGGTATCCAAGCTAATCCTTTTGAGGCACTTTGCACCTAATTTTGTCTCAATCCTGTGACAGGCTGGAAAGACAGTGATCACAACAATCCATCAACCATCCAGCAGACTTTTCCACAAGTTTGATAAGTTGATTCTTCTTGGCAAAGGGAGCTTACTTTATTTTGGGAAGGCATCTGAAGCAATGGTCTATTTTTCAGCTATAGGATGCTCACCTCTGATTTCAATGAATCCAGCAGAGTTCCTGCTAGACCTTGCAAATGGAAACCTTAATGATGTCTCTGTTCCATCGGAGTTGGAGGACAAAGTGCAGATCGGGAACTCAGATAGAGAGACAGGGAACGGAAAGCCAACACCAATAGTTGTGCATGAGGTGAATAAAATTTACATTTATTACCCAAAAAACTAATGCACAGCCGAAAGAGAAAAGACCTCAAGCAATCACTTGGCATGAATTTAATGTTTTTTATGTTCCCTTCTTTTTTTGTTTGTATGAATCCTGCTTTTCATATGTCAATTTCTCATTTTCCCTGAACAGTATCTAGTGGAAGCCTACGAGACACAAGTGGCTGAGAGTGAAAAAAAGAAACTTATGGCCCCCATGATGATTGATGAAGAGTTGAAGTCTAAAGTCTTTTCTATAAAGAGAGAGTGGGGAGCAAGCTGGTGTGAACAATACTCCATATTATTTTGGAGAGGACTTAAAGAACGGCGGTATGATTATTTTAGCTGGTTGAGAATCACTCAAGTAATTGCAACTGCACTTATCTTGGGTATGCTCTGGTGGCAGTCTGGTGGTGATAGTCCTAAACAAATGCGAGAACAGGTATGAGGCTCTACTCTTGTATGCACAAGATGATCAAAGGATTTGACATTAGGTTCCTAAATGAAAGCTAATATCTAAGATTACAGAGAATGTATCATTCATCCCATGTTCATGGTTTCGATCAAAAAATCATAAGTCTAAAACAAATAGGAGAGAATAGGATTATTCAAGAACCTCAATTAGAAACTCTATTAGCATATATGCCAAGACACATTTATGAATAGAGAATCTCATGTTGAATCAAAATAGAAGTCCTAAAGAAGCAAACTGAAACATTTACGAAACTTTTCTAATATGCACTAGGAGCATAATTGCACCAATACTGAAATGTGAAATTCACTGCAGTCGGGATTGCTGTTCTTCATTGCTGTGTTCTGGGGGTTTTTTCCAGTTTTCACAGCAATCTTCACATTTCCGCAAGAAAGGGCAATGCTGAACAAGGAACGATCTGCTGACATGTACAGATTAAGCGCATATTTTTTGGCTAGAACCACCAGTGATATTCCACTTGATCTTATACTGCCAGTGCTCTTCCTTTTAGTGGTATATTTCATGGCAGGATTGAAACATGACGCTGATGCCTTCTTCCTAACTGTGCTTACAACTTTCCTCTGCATTGTAGCAGCTCAGGTACTCCATGTTTTTCTTTTTTTCCATGTATAAACTGACAGTTTCCCTACCTTGGTAATTTGAATAATCCTTACTTCATTGTTGGCAGGGATTAGGACTAGCAATAGGGGCTACACTAATGGATTTAAAGAAGGCAACCACTTTGGCCTCTGTTACTGTAATGACCTTTATGTTAGCTGGTGGATATTTCGTAAAGGTAAGGATGCACTATCCTCTCACATCGAAATGATTTACCTTAGAAGCTGTAGTTCTGATATAGGATTTGAATTCTGCAGAAAGTACCAGTATTTATATCATGGTTGCGGTACCTATCCTATAACTATCAAACGTACAAACTCCTTCTAAAGGTTCAATATAAGGAGAAAAATGACTGGGTGGACGGGATTAAAGTAGGCAGCGGTGTAAAGGAAGTATGTATACTACTAGCTATGGTTTTTGGCTACCGGCTCCTGGCATACATATCTTTGCGAAGAATGAAGCTTCACTCAGGTGCTTAGATGATGCAAATGATGGTTCATTTCAAACTAAACAACTAGTCTATGCAGCTTCCACTGATCATAAAAGGTACCTGATTCTGATATAAGTTGCAGCACAAGGAAAGAAGATTTGGCTGCAGTGCCTGATGAAGTTTTAGTTTTTCGTTTTTCTGTTTACCTCTACGCATAGTTGTAAATTTTTAAATCTATTAGAAACTAGAAACAGAAATGAACTGTATGTAGAATGTTCCCATAGATGCTGAGATGGAGATCATATTCATGATTACTCCTTTAAAAATTTTGGTTCCATTGTACCTTTCATGTTTGCAGCAGTTTCCAAAGTAAAAACTGAGACACAAGAGTTCACTTTTAAAAAGTTTCCAACTGTGCATGTCAAATCTGAATTAGTTGCACATTCAGAAGGCCCCAGAGCTCAGGAACATTGTAGTATGGGAAAAATCAATGGTGATGATTAAAAAAAGAAATAACTACAGTGGGTATAAGGAAAAAAACTACTTGGAGATTTGGTAGGGGTGAGAAATTAATAGCCCCTCCCTTCCAACTTAGGACCAGGAAACATGTAATAAGCAAGAGCTCATATTCTACTGTATGTTAGCATTTTGGCTCCAAAAGTTGAGATAAAGTTTATGTTTTGGTGGATTTAAACTTATTAAGAACAAAAGGGGATTTGATATGAACTTCTCCGTCATGCCAGTGATAAAGTTATTGATCTTTGAGGGGGAAGGGTTTTGTTTTTTTAGAGTGTAGACACATCTTTGGTGAAAGCCATGAAGAACTGTTGAATAGATAGTATGATACTATAATTTATGCTCAAAACATAAGCAAAAGAATTAATCTTAAGTTAGAAAAGTGAGGGTGCTCACTACCCATATTAGAGGTGACAAATGTGGAAAACCAAAAGCTAACCCTTTTAGAATAACAATTGCATGATATGTATGTTAAGGTTAAGATTGCGTATTTATACCATCTGTGAGTCATATTCATGAACTGCTTTTAGCAACAGTGAGTTGAGATGCTTCTGTAATGATGTTCTAATAAGTCAATACAGGAAATACTAAAATAGCGTTAAAGTATAGGTTCAAAGCCAACAAATTTATCTCCTTGTATAATCGCAACAATCACTTAATTTAATAACAATAGCAATTAAACTCACTACAAAATAGACAGAAAACAAGGGCCTTCCACTGAAACACTAACACGTTTCAGTTGAAAAACATCTAATGAAAAGCAATTATATATTGATGGTAGACATCAAACAGAAGCTTGCTAACCAAAACTGAATTCTTTCCATGACCAAATACCTTAACTAGATTGTGTTTCGCGGAAAAGAGCTAAAAGTCTCGTGTGGTAAAATTTGGCACCAACTAATGCTTTGTTAACAAAGAATCGCGTGTCATTTTCTTTTAATAAGCATTAATTACCATGAAGTTTCTTGAAGAAGCCGGCCACTTGCCTGCCAGGATATACTATGTTTCTTTTTATCATGCCAACCAAGTTGCCCACGAAGAACACTGTCCAGTACATCAGAGGCCTTTTCTCAAACCCTATGATAAAAGGAGGAAACTCAAGTCAGACACATTCCGTATTTCAGTTACTACATCTGACATGAATACAAACATTGTAGGTACCTATTATGCCACATATATACATATAAGAGGCACACTAATAGGGGCTGAAGACAACTCTGCATACATGACCAATTAGTATTTAGTCACCAAACAGGCACACAAAGCAATATCATAAACCACTAATTTGAAATTTCAAAAACCACATCTCTGATAGCGGCAATGGTATGAAAATAGACGGTTCTGTCTACGAATTTACATAAATCAGCAGCAACACGATAAGCCCTCATTACTCCTGAAATTCAAGGGAAAGAAACCATCTTCAACGCTATATAAATCAGCAGAAAGAAAAAGCAATTACATACGGAAAGAATTATTTAACATACAGTGGTATTGAATGGCAAACCCTTCGGATTTCTCTGTGGCATATCGTGAATGGGTCTTTGGCCTTCCCACATAGAAGATGGATGCAAGTCCCGATGTCAACTCATTTAGCAAGCATGAACGTATCTAATAAGTGAAAAAAGCAATTTTTGCTAATATTGTATTGTTAAATAAGAATGAATGAGAAAGTTATCAAATGGTAATTGGATTGTTTTAGTCGTTAATATATACCGCTTCATAGAAATAGTCCTTTTTTAATCATAAAATTGCAATATATTAAGAAGTAAACAACATATAATTAATGTGTATTATTTATATGTCGGTTAGAAAAAGTAAATAATGAATCTATTATTAATATAGATTGACCAATCACTAAAGAACTGAAGCTAATGTTACTAGTGTCAGGTAACTTCCCAAAGCAAACTAGGTTATTACAAACTCTATCCAAAATATGCTTGTTAATTTAGAGTTCATTTAGACACAAAAATGGGGTTGAATTGTGTCTCACCCTATTTTTGCAATTTCAAAGAACCTGTTATTTGAACTAACTATCCTGACACAAACAGAAAAAAGGTGCGAAATTTTACTAACATGAAGATTTTATGTGGGAAACCTCCTTACTCAAGGGAGTAAAAACCACGACCTACCTCAGTAGGATTTGCTTCAAACTTCACTAACTTCAATTGAGTAATTTTAGGTTACAACTCTATAACCAAGGTGAATAACTCTAGTACCCTAACCCTACAATCAACCAAATTATAGATATCCCTTTTCAAACTAACTCTAGTCTATGAAGCTAACAAAAACTCAAGTTTATGTACTAACCTATAATTACACTTCAAAAAGCAAGTAGGTTATAACTTAGAACAATTGAATCTAACCTAAACAACTAAAGAACTTTCGTGCCTTCGTGTTCTGGAACAGGTTCTTTAGTTGAGCAGCTTGAATCTCCAAGAGGACCTTCTTGCCGAGATTGCTATTGTCAAGAATAATTATGTGAATTCGTTCAAATAGCGCAAGTCTTGAACAACTATAGAATGTCTCCTTATATAGGTGTAAAGTAGGCTGAAAATCTCCTCTAATTAATGCTCCAAAACCTAAAATATTTTGGTTAAAAAAAAACTTTTCCTATTTTGATTTTGTTTCCTTAATTATTCCAACTCCTCAACCTTTTTTTTAAATGCAAGTATCTCTGTATCGAATCATTTCCGAATAAGAATACCTCCAATTAATATTTTTTTTGTCGTGCATGAGTAGGTTTTCTTGAGGAATCCACTAGAATTCAGACATTTCGCATCTGATCAGCATTCTGGACTTCATCTGCTATGAACCTGGTTCTTGCATTATTCATATATCACATCTGCACACCAGTCTAATAGCATAGCAACCTGTCCATGAACCTGGTTCTTTCAACACAGTAGATCTTAGGTTTGTTAATCATCAAAAAATATTTTGATGATGACAAACCTATGCAAATCATTGGACTGATCGATTAATTCTTCAGCATAAGAGCTAATTTCATTGGCAGAACTCTTCATCAAGTTTGTCCATATTTGCACAAGTGTAAGGGACTCGCTTCCATTCATCGCAATGCTATAGTTGGCTAGGCATATTTCAGTTTTAGAACCTGCAAACAGACAAACTCATTGATAGAATTTCCGGTGTGTATGTAAGAACTAAGTCTACTGATCAGCATATATGTATATACTTAACTTTTTCCTTTTGGCATCATTGAAAAACAAAGCGTTAGTAGTGTCAAAATTGAGAATTTATCAATATCAAACTCATGGATACTGGGCTACACTAACATGAACACAATGTCAGCAACTCAAACGTTTAACTCAGTAAATTATCCAAATATAATTTCACCAGTTTTACCCAAAAAAGAGGAAATTCGATTGATTTATCATTGTACATTAAGTCCAGAGGGCCCAAACCAAAAGACAGTTAAACAAACCCGTCAAATTGCCAACTAAAAAAAACAAAAAAGAAAAACAAAAAAACAAAAAATTGTCATAGAAGGGACATGACTAGGGACTGACTAGGACAATACTAGGATACCGAAGAGGACAAGAGACCAGGTTCTTTACCGAAAGAGGATTGCCCATGCAGAAGCCCCAGAAGCTTATCAAAGCGAGCAGTACCAGCATCCTTGTCTCTCTTTATCTCCTCCTTCAACCTTCTATTCTCCTTTTTCAAGGAGGTATTCTCTTCCTTCAGTTTCTCTTTTTCTTCATTGGCAGCAGCCAACTCTTCTAACAGGTTGGTGACCATACTTTTTGCTCTTTGTCCCTGGAGGTCTAGCTATACAGTCACATTCGTTTAAGTCTTCCTCATCCAACATGTCTTTCTTGGTTCCTTTTTTAGGTCCTCTTAGTGTAACCTTAAAAATGTTTGAACACTCTAGTCAGCAAAAAATCATAAGGCAGTGCATGAGTGCCCTTTCTTGATCTGTTGCCATTGCCATATATTTGATCATTAAGGAGGGTAGAGTGATTTTCCTATTTCGATCCAACACCTCCATAACTGCCAGGTCCAAGTATGTGGTCTCATGCTTCCTCTCTAATAGGGGTTGTAGATACTTGTTCACAAACTTAGACATGAGCTTGTGAACCAATTTCATTTCTCCTTTTCAAATATTCCTTGAGGTAATCTTCTTCCTTTCCTGAGTGTACTTGGAAGTCAAGTACATGGAGTCCTCCTTCTCACCCAAATCAGGCCACCCACACCGCACATAGGTGTTAAAACCCTCCACATGCACATTCAGTATCTCGCCTAGTAACTTGGCATCAAGAACCAGGTCCACTCCCCTAACTTTAGAACTCACTATGCCATCATCAAGCACCTTAATTTTTTATGTAAAAATGAATCATTGATTCACCATACATAACTGAGAGTGGGCACAAAAACAGATATGTCCATCATTCTTAATCCTTTCCACCAGCTCCTTCATGCCAAACATGTTCACAGTGGCTGGGTCGATTACTCGGACCTTCAACATTATCATCCCAGCAAACTATTTTTCTCTGCCTACAATATCAACTTTTCTCTATGTTTTCTTCCTACATTAGGAACTGGTTCCTTCCTTTCACACTTAGAAACTACAACCTTCCTTTTTTGGAAGACCTCTTCTCCTTAGGTGTAGCTGAAAAGGATTCAAACTTCTTATTTCCTTCATCTGAAGAGGTACTTCCTCCACCTCTTCTTCTTATTCTTATTTTTCTTCTTCTTCTTCTTCCTCTTCATCATCTGCCTCACTCACAAGGTCGGTTTCCTCCACATCAAACTCATCTATCAGCTTGAACCCCTATCTCTCCTTTTTTTTTCTTCTTGCTTTCCTCCAAGTCCCTTTCAAGAGTAGCCTTGCTCCTCCTCTGGTGCTTGGAGTTCTACTCGCGAGAGTCACTGGACCTTGCAACAACATTGCCTTCTTGGCCACTTGCTTCACCCTACCAAAATGTTTTTACTTCCTCACTTGTTTTCGTTTCTCTCAAATTTGCTAATGCCTCATCATCACTACTTGCACTACTTTCTTTACTCACTACTTCTTCTCATTTCGTGTCCCCTTCTTCCTCAATAAAATTTAGATTTCTCTGGATTAGCATTCATAGAACCGGGTTCTTGAACCTGATCAACATCATTCTCAATATTTTTTCAGTAACCCCTTCTCCAACCACTTCTCTCTCTCTCTCTTTCTCTCTCTCTCTCTCTAGAAGAAGAACCTGGTTGTTGTTTGGAGATTTTGGTGCTTCTACTCCAGCACTAATACTCACCCCAACCAATTCTTCCTAGGTCTAGTCATCGACTCTACACCTATATCAATAGCTCCTCTCTTACTCTTTTTTTCTTCCACTTGCTCACCTACCACCTCTTCCCCCCCCCCCAAGTCTCAGGCTCCATAACATCACTCACCTTTGATTATTCATCACCATTCTCCTTTTCTTTTTGGCATTTTCTTCCCCCTGAATTTGGGGCTCCTCCACTGCCAGACTTTAACCATCAGAATTTTCACTGTTTTGTTCATCAGAATAGTCGACCAACCCTGTAAAAACATTTAGGGTACTTTGGGAGGGAGTTTATTCATGGACAGACTCGACATGACATGGTGAAGAAGGAGGGGTGTTGGCAACAAACATGGTGTTTGATTCAAGGGACCAGATGTGAATTGGCTTGGTGAGTTCGACATTATTAAGGGTTTAAGAATTTTGGAAGAATAGAAAACTAAGGTTTCGAATTTTTATACTTATGTTCTTTGAGAGGGGTGAGTAATTTGATCGGATGAGAGAAGAAAGAAGTGAAAAAGGATTTTTATAGGAGCACGATTTGACAGTTACTCAACTAATCACACTAATTTCTCCAAATCCGATTCTGAGAGGGAAAGGGAGTAACGCCTAGATTTTGAAATTTTAAAAAGGCAGATAATGACTCTGATTTGGCAGTAGAAACATGTTCTGAGAAGTTTATGAAGTTGGTTCTATTTCAGTATATTAGAAACAATCATGATTACTTTTTGGAACCTGATCCCTTTTAGTTTCAAGAATCGAAGGGAGTCATTATATATAGGATATAATCAATTTATTGGGAACCTGATTTCTATGACGTGGAAGTTTAATAGTTCATCACAACTATCTATTGGAAAGGAGGTACATACTTGAGTTTCACACAAACTAGGTTTTTTTTTTACTGATTTCCTCAATATGGCCAAAATAAACTCTTTTTTATTTAGGATTTCATCATCAGATTAAATGTTGAAGCCTTTGAGATAGTGCCATGTGTGTATACCTGTTATAGTATAAGACTGAGTTAGGCAATTTTATGATGAAAAATGTCGTTAGAGTTAATACGACAAAGAAGAATGACGTATACAGAAGATATGTGCAACACCCTCTAGGTCATACACAAATTTACCATGCCTAGCCTCGGGGTCACACACAAGAGCATAGCCACGAGTCTGATAAATAGGGGTTATTAATAGCTATGAATGCGGAAAGAATCATTCAATCCCTGATTACACGGGATTTGCCATTATTACTACAACCATTATATATCAATCACATAACGGACAATTAATACAATAAATGATAGTAACAGGCAGGAGCCAAATAAGGCAAACAGTTACAAATGAAAATACTATTTAAACCCCCCCTTCCATATCTTGTATCACCATCGA